TGGCCCAGTGAAAATATCACAAGTGACCAGTCATTTTATCCTTTCGGTCTCAAGTTTTTTCTTCTGCAAAATGAGGACATGTAGTGAGTAATCTAAAGTATCTTCCAGTTTTATCATTTCTTAAGAATGTATGTGTAACTTATCTATGTATTTTTTGTCAGCACTAGAATAGTGAAAATGAAGCTAAACATCCACAAGATGGCACTCTAAGTCCAATTCTATAGAGATGTGGCTTTTTTCTTTTTAATTCTCCTAGTTTTGCTGGCAGAAATTACAAAACATAAAGAACAATGGAAATACTTTGAGGAAAAGTTGAGGAGGACAAGTATCACCCAGAGACCAGGCTCAGCTCTCCCCAATCTCCAAGCATCTACTATATTTCTCCAACGGCACGTGAATTGTGTGGCCACGAGTCATAGCAGCCTGAGCGTTAACGTATTTTCACAACAACAATCAGAAAGCCATACTTCTCTGGTTGGGATCTCCACTGCCAATGTGGGAAGTGCAGTCGGCTGCCCACTACTGTACCCGACAAGCTATTTCTGAGATCCCGGGGGCGTGTGTCAACCAAATCTGTTAGCACGTTCATTTCTGTACCTGGCGGCTATGATAGAAATGCTAGGGCCAGTCTTTTAATTCATGTTTTATTCATTCATGGAACAAATAACTAGTGAGTGTTTACTATCTGCCTGACTCCACACCAGACACTGAGTACACAGCCAGGAACAATACTACATACACAGAAACATGTCTAGGCCCAGATTGTCTCTGGAAGTAATCACAGCAAACTTATAACAGGGGTTGGCTGCAAATGGAGTGGGCCATCAAGGCATTGGGTGGAAATGAGACTTACCTTGTCCTATATTCCGTTTTATAGTCTTTAACGTTTATCTGATGCATGGATAAGCATGCACATGATATATGGATAGCCAGTTTAAATTGGTCAGTGAGGAGGAACATTTTCAGAATTAGCTCAATGGATGTATGTCTTCTGATAGAAATGACTGTCTTCCAAGTGTTCACAAAGTGCTCACTCATTACAGCAGGTGGCAGTACTGTACACGATTTTGGAGGCTCTGGAGAAATGTGGAAGGATGGTAGTTCAACACATTCTGAAAAGAGCTGGAAACTGAGGCTCTGTGCCTTGGGACTTTTGGCCATAAACAGAATAGTTTGTTCATGCTTGAAACAGGTGCAAATGTATGCTTGGTTCTTAGAATTTTAAACTGAAAGGGACCTTAGTGATCATTTAATCCAGTATCCTTGCTTTATTCTCAAAGAAGATAAGGGAATTAGCCTATTATCTAGCAGGTGCTGTCTAGCAAAGCCAGGCAGAACACAGGCCACCTGAATGTTTTGTGGTAAGGAGGTGGTATGACTGATGAAGACAATCAAGCTTATCATTCTTGCTTTTAAATTTGAGAGTCCATCAGTCTGATGTTTAAAATGTAGGCTTGGACCACATCCGTGTTTTCAAAGTGACACAAATTCGAGCATTGCCTAGGGCCCTTTTTAAAAATACAGATTCTAAAGTCTCTCCCTTCAAGATTCTTATTCATAAAATCTGGAGTGGAGCTCAAATTTTGTATTTTTAATAAGAGATCTTCAATGGTTCTTATTATCTGGAAAATGTCAGATGATTTTTTAAAAATACTCCAAACCCTTAAATTCTATGATAATTTTCTTCTTTTGCCATTGTTCTCATTAAACATTGTCCTTCCTCTACATCAGTGATTTGCATCAGAATCAGGAGTCCATGTTATTTCCCCATCTCTAACTAAATATCACTGGCTGATGAATAGCATCTGTTCGTCAATACTATTGCTAAGCAGGGGGTTTCCCATTTGCCCCTTCATATCCACTCTCCACTGTTATCCACCTGATCTCTGCTGTTGGAGGTAAACTTTATTGACCACTTCAATGGGCTCCTTTGCCTTCTGACTTTCAGTTGGGTTTATCCAATGGGAGGATTCAACAGGAGAGTAGAGAATGGGAGAAGAACAACATTAGGGGTATTTTTATCCTGGCCTCTACTCCTTTCTAATTACCCATGGAATCACTATGAGTTAGCTGTGTCTCTGTATTTAAAGCGATGGCCATCTCAGGGGGTCCTCTTATAGTTAAAGTAGACCTTTGGGGTACCTTCAGGCCAAGAGTTGGTAATATTGTTATTGAAGTACCTTTCAGATACTCCTTAACCTTTCCCAAGCCTTTGTAAATAATCCCTTTGTTCTTTGTTAAAACTTCCTCAATTACTCTTGAGTATGCATCTCTGCTGCCAGGACTTGGACACAGACAATGATTTATCTTTATCTCTTTCATATGTGCTGTTTACAAAATAAAGGTTTTCTTGTTCTTTATTAGAAATAAGATCACCAAGCTGGCATGGCTCAGTGGTTGAGCGACGACCCATGAACCAGGAGGTGATGTTTGATTCCAGGTCAGGGAGCTCGATCCCCAGTAGGGGGCATGCAGGAGGCACCTGATCAATGATTCTCTCTCATCACTGATGTTTCCCGCTCCCTCTTTCTCTCCTTTCCTCTCTCTGAAATAAATAAATAAGAGAAATGATAGAATTTAGGAGAAAAAATAAAAGAATTCTAGAATTCAAATGAGCTTTAACATACATTCTTGCCCTAACCGGTTTGGCTCAGTGGATAGAGCATCGGCCTGCGGACTCAAGGGTCCCAGGTTTGATTCCGGTCAAGGGCATGTTCCATGGTTGTGGGCACATCTCCAGTAGGGGGTGTGCAGGAGGCAGCTGATCGATGTTTCTCTCTCATCGATGTTTCTAACTCTCTATCCCTCTCCCTTCCTCTCTGTAAAAAAATCAATAAAATATATTTTAAAAAAAACCATATACATTCTAGCTTACCACTAAATGCTAGAATCCTACATGAAATAGGTCTGCTTCATCCTGCTCATTACAACTTTTCAAATATTTACTGGGAATTATCATTTTCTCCTCTAGGTTAAATGTTATCAGTCTCTTCAATCGTTTTTCATGTAATGTGGTTTCTAGATCCTTCTCCATCCTGGCCATTGAAGATGTTCCATTTGGGTGCATCCTGTTTGTCAGTGCTATTGCTTCATGTTTACAGAAACATTTGCAAAGTAAGCCAGATGTGGACAGAGTCTCACCCATAGCTGAAGAACCCAGACCTCCCTAACTGAGAGGCATACCGGGATGAACAAATACAGACCAAAGGCTCTGCTATCAGACGGAGCTTCTGCCTGAACCCGGATGTGTGGGTGGAGGCAGGAGTCCCTGCTGAAGGGGACATACACATTACCACCACGTGCCTCGCAAGTCATGGTTCCACTTTAGAATTTATAGCTCACTTTTTCTTTCATACTTTACTTACCATGAAGGAGGGAACAGTAATAGAATTCTAGTCAGGCCAAGAGCTAAAATAAGAAATAGGAGCACTTTAAATTCCCATGGTCTGGAATTCCTCAGTTTCCTTAACCCCGACCAATCCAGATGTGTTTTGTAGGCACCTAGTTTTCTGGCCCGAAGGTAACTAGGTCATTTGTGTGAAATAGTTAGCATAGAGTCTGCAGCAAAAGAGATTTTCTTGAGTGTTGAGCCTCTCATTTCCTTGTTCAGACTCTGAGGACCTCGAAGTCACAGAATGTATTGCTGCCATGAACCTTAGGTTATCAAATTTAGGCAAATTGGAAGATCCAGAGGGTAGAATCTCTTTGTCCAAAATTACAGAGCAATTTACTGGTAGAGCCATGATTAGAACCCAATTTTCTTTCCTCTCTATCATTCTGTCTCTCTTTTCAGTTAATTTACTCCATTCTTTTACCAGGTTACAAAACCGAAATGGGGAAATTAATACAAGTACCCAAAGCCTCCAAGTCCGACAGAGGCAGCATTTGAATTGCACAATTGCCTTGGAAATATTGGGGAAAGACAGCTATGTGCACATTATATTTGACACAACTTCAGGGGTGAAGCAAACCGACATTTTATTTTGAGAGCTCAACTACCTAGCCTTTGCATCTGAGTCTAAACTTTAAAAAATATAAATGTGGACAAAAAGGGGCCTGACTAACTTATGGAAGGCTTACATGGCAGCCTTGCAAACCACAAAGGATGGTCTGAAATTAAAACAATTTTAATTAAGAAGCAGTCTCTGGTGGATAGTCATGTCCTAGGCCAGTATTTTCTCTGACAAAGATCAACTTTGATCTTCACTGAGTCTATTGTCTTTTTGCATCTATGATAACATACCTTTGGAATGTCAGGGTAACTTGTAACTTCCCTTTTTCCGGATTCCTCAGGGCACAACCAGTGGTCAGGGCACCAGGGCAGAGACCACAAATTCCCTCACTGTTATTGTTGTGTTAATGGTTGACTGTCAACTATCCTGTACCCACTTATGTAAAAGAAGCATGTGTCTATCATTTTATTTTTTACCCAACCCCAGAGGTTTCCCTGCTTTGCTTTATCCCACCTCCCTAATCTATCACCTGTGGATTTCATGTAACCCACTTACATCTCCTCCTTTGCTAGTAATTTATAAAATTAGGTGGAAAAACCGCCATTCTCTGGAGCATTAACTCAATACATTGAGATTCTGCTTCCCGGTAATCGTTGACAGTTTGGGTCAAATAAACTCACAAAAATTCTTTACAGGTTTGAATGTTTCTTACATTAACATGAATCTTTTCAATCAACTGAATCAAGGCACTGAAAATTAGGCTCCCATAGTTAGTCCTGACTTTAAATCTCCAGTCTCCCACCAACTTAGAGCTATTATTTAAAACTGCAGAGGACTTCAGGGACAGCCTGGTTCAAAGAAACTTAGACCCAGAAAGGATGTGTTTTACAAACTTACAAAGAAGAACAAGAATTTGACTCTGAATCCTATGGTCTTTTGCATGCACTCTGGTTATTTCCTGTATGACTGTGCCTTCTGTGTTTAATTTTCTTTAGAACAGGGCACCAGATATTTCGTTAGAGCATTTAATAAACTTCACCACAAGAGTCAAAGTAAATATTTTCTTTATTAAATGAGAAGGGGAGGTGAGTGACATAAATGTTATTTTAGAAGCCTATTACTTACTAATCATAAAGAATGCCCAGCAAAAATAGATTTGAAGGACGTAACAAACAAATATTTAGAGAAATATTTATGACTTCACACAGCTGATAGGAAAATGTAGTCAGGTTTGAAATGCCCTAACAAAAGTTGATGTTTCCCCACTATTCTGAGCTAAACTGTACTCTATGAGAGAGTCTGACACTAGAACTCTTAGTAGAAACTTATAGGAAATGACTGCATAGGAAAAAGGAACCACTTCTGAACAAGACTGCATTTCAAGACTCAATAGGGAAAAAGAAATCAAAGTTATAGCAGATGCTGTTGAGAGTGCCTCAGATGATCCCAAACTGAGCGAGCTCATGCAACTCCAGGTGGCTGAATGCCTCCCAAGGGCAAATCACTGTAATATCTGCAAGAAAGGGAAGAAGAATTTATACGTCAGCCTCACCCCCAGGAGAGCCTTTTCTGCTCAAAAAGACATCCTTCAGGCAGAGGATACCTCCTCCTCTCTCCTATTCATTGTCCAGGTGACTGGGAAGTTATCTAAAATGGCCCTGAGACCCAGAGGATCAGACCAATTGCTTAATTAATCCTTTGAGGGCTCCTATGGCCCCAGAGCACACTCCTCCAGGTATCTTTGTTGGCTCTATTCTGCATCTTCTTTTGGGCAGGTGACCCACGGCTTTTGACTGGGGCTACCCTGTAGGGGTACATCTCACTGATCACCCAGGACCTCCCCAAAGCACAACCACTAAGGAGGGACCAGAAGTAGAATTCTAGTCAGGTCAAGGGTTAAAATGAGAAATAAGAGCGCTTTAAACACCCATGGTCTGGAAACCCATAGCCTCCTGACTCCCTACCAATCCAGGTGGGTTCCTTGGGCTTCTCTGACTTATTCCTCAACTCTTTTACATTTTGAAATGCCTACATCCAACTCATATTGAGAAGTGATTTCAAGGGATCCTCTAATCCAGTCCCTTGAATCCAGAAATAAATTATTATTGTCCCCAGGTCACAGAGAAGCTGGTGGATACCCAGAAAGAGTAAACATCTAGCAAAAAATTGCACAGTTGCAGAAATGGGACTAGAACCAAATCAAAGGCTTCAAACCTTCTTCTAGTGTAAACCTCTTTCTATTATTCCAAATATGTTAGCATATCTTCCAGAGTGGATTTACTAGTCTTAAATATATCTGGTCAAATTATAGAAGCAGTTGATTTAGGGAAATAACACATAAGCTCTATAAACTGGCTATAAAATTTATTTGAGATTCCAGAAGTGGCATTTGATTGCAAAAAGCAAATACACTGAGAATTGCCTGGTAAGGACATTCATTGCTATGAATGCCAGCATTTATCAAAAGTGTATTGGAGATCTAGATGGTTTGAATCAGTGGATAGAGCATCAACCTGCGGACTGAAGGGTCCCAGGTTTGCTTCTGGTCAAGGGCACATGCCCTTGTGGGTTCAATCCCCAGTGGGGGGCATGCAGGAAACAGCCAATTGATGTTTCATCATTGATGTTTCTCTCTCTCTCCCTCCCCTTTCCTCTCTGAAATCAATATATATATTAGAGGCCCGGTGCACAAAAATTTGTGCACTTGCGGGGAGGGGGGTTCCTCAGCCCGGCCTGTGCCCTCTTGCAGTCTGGGACCCCTTGGGAGATGACGACTTGCTGGCTTAGGCCTGCTCCCAGGTGGCAGAAGGCATGCCCAATCCCTAGGTGCAGCCCCTGGTCAGGGCAAGAGCAGGGCTGATTGGGGAGTTGGGGCGCCACCCCCTGTCATGCACAGAGCAGGGCAGATCGGGAAGTTGTGATGCCAACCTCAGTCCCCCTCAGGGTAGGGCCGATTGGGGGGTTGGGGCCCCGCCTCCTGTCACACTCAAGGCAGGGTTGATGGGGAGGTTGTGGCGCCACCCCCTGTCACGCACAGAGCAGGGCCAATCAGGGGGTTGGGGTGGTGCCCCCTGTCATGCACACAGCAGGGCCCATCAGGGGGTTGGGGCTCCGTACCCTGTCCTGCACAGAGCAGGGCCCATCAGGGGGTTGGGGGGCTCCCCCCCCTGTCACGCACAGAGCAGGGCCAATCAGGGGTTTGGGGCGCTGCCTCCTGTCACTCACAGAGCAGGGCCCATCAGGGGGTTGGGGCTTCGTACCCTGTCACACACAGAGCAGGGTGGATCAGGGATTGGGACACCGCACCCTGTCACACTCTGGGCAGGGCCGATGGGGAGGTTATGGCTCTACCCTGTCACACACAGAGCAGGGCGGATCAGGGGGTTGGGGTGCTGCATCCTGTCACACACAAAGCAGGGCTAATCAGGGGGTTGGGGCCCCGCAGCCTGTCACACACAGAGCCACAGGGCAATCAGGGGTTGGGGAGCTCCCCCCTGTCACTCACAGAGCAGGGCCCATCAGGGGGTTGGGGAGCCTCCCCCCTGTCACACACAGAGTAGGGCCAATAGGGGAGTTGGGGCACCACCCCCTGTCACACACAGAGCAGGGCGGATCAGGGGGTTGGGGTGCTGCATCCTGTCACACACAAAGCAGGGCTAATCAGGGGGTGGGGGCCCTGCAGCCTGTCACACACAGAGCCACAGGGCAATCAGGCGGTTGGGGAGCTCCCCCCCATCAGGCACAGAGCAGAGCTGATCAGGGAGTTGGGGCGCCTTCCCCTGTCACGAACAGAGCAGGGCGGATAGGAAGGTTGTGGCCCTGCCCCCTGTCACACACAGAGCCACAGGGGGATCAAGGGGTTTGGGCGTTGCCCCCTGTCATGCTGATCCTGGTGCTGGGAGGCATATTACCCTTTTACTATACAGGATAGAGGCCTGGTGCATGGGTGGGGCTGGCTGGTTTGCCCTGAAGGGTGTCCTGGATCAGTATGGGGGTCCCCACTGGGGTGCCTGGCCAGTCTGGGTGAGGGGCTGAGGGCTGTTTTCAGGCTGGCGGGAGACTGAAGCTCCCAACCACTCCTTTTTTTCTTTTTTCTTTTTTTTATTCGGGGCCAGCTTTAGCTCTGAGGCTTGGCTCCAGCTCTTAGGCCTCCGCTGCTGAAAGCAGGTATCTGGTTTGTTTGGGTTCTATAATCGAAACACTGTTTCAGCTCCAGCTCTGAGATCCCAGCTGGCTGAAAGCAGGTTTCTGGGGTTTTGTTTAGCTTCTATATTTGTTAAAATGTTTCAAACCGCAAGCTCAGAGGCCGGCAGCTGCAGGCAGGGAATGTTGGAGTCCTCCATCACTGAAGCAAGCAAGCCTCATGTTCGTGTCAGTAGCCTGGCTGCCGGCCACCATCTTGGCTGGCAGTTAATTTGCACATCGCCCTGATTAGCCGATGGGAAGGGTAGTGGATGTACGGCTAATTACTGTTTCTCTTTTATTAGATAGGATATATACTAGAAGCCTGGTGCACAAAATTATTAATTAGTTCATGGTGGAGGCAGGCATGTCCCTCAGCCTGGCCTGCACCCTCTCATAATCTGGGGCCACTGGCTCCTAAGCACTTGCCAGCCTGCCTGCCTGATTGCCCTTAACTGCTTCTGCCTTCAGCCTGGTCACCCCCTAACCGCTCCCCTGCTGGCCTGATTGACACCTAACTGCTTCCTGATGCCCACAACTACCCTCCCCTGCCACGGCCTGCCTTCTCCACCGAGACCGGCCCCCTCTGTGTTGCATGGAGCTGCGGGACCCCCCAGGCCTCACCATGCAGAGCAGCCACTGGGCCCCACCTCCACTGCACACAGAGCCATCTTGTGGTGGCCATCTTGTGACAATGTTGTGCACAAGGGCCACCTAGGCTTTTATTAGTATAGATTTTTTTTAACAGTGTATTGGATGGACCCAGGTCAGTGTAGCTCAGTGGGTTGGAGCATCGTCTTGTGTACCAAAAGCTTACAGGTTCCCAGTCAGAGCACATATCCAGGGTATGGGTTCGATTCCTGATCTGGGCTCGTATAGGAGGCAACCAGCAACCCATTGATGTTTCTCTCTCACATTGATATTCTTTCTCTCTCTCTCTCTCTCTCTCTCTCATTCTCTCTCAAATCAATAAAAAACAACAACAACAAAAAACACAACATGTCCTCCAATGAGGATTAAACAAAAAGTGTATTGGATGAGTTGAAAACTCATGTATACACAAATACCTGCACAAGGATGTCTATAGCTGCTTTATTTATAATTGTCAAATCTTGGAAGCAACCAGGATGTCTTTCAATAGGATAAATAAACTGTGATACAACCATGCAGTGAAATATTATCCAGTGATAAAAAGAAATGTGCTATCAGCCATGTAAAGACATGGAGGAACCTTAAGTGAAAGAACACTTCTAACTGCAAGAAGTCTGGAAAAGCTACATATTGTATGTCTCTAACTATATGACAATCTGGAAAAGGCAAAACTATGAAGACAGTAAAAAGATTATTGGTTTGTGGGCGTATATGGGGGGGGGGGTGTTTACAGAGCACAGGGGATTTGGGGGACAGTGAAACTCCTCTGCATGAACCTGTAATGTTACATATGTGGCATTGCGCATTTTTCAAAGCCTAAAGAACTCGACAACAACACAGAGACTGAATCCTAATGTAAGCTATGGACTTTAGTTAATAATAATGTGTCGCTATTGATTCATCAATTGTAACAAATGCAAGTCATTAGTAATAAGAAAAACTATGTACAGGGGAGGAGGGGAGCAGAGAGTGTGTATAGGAACTCTGTACTTTCTACTTAAATTTCCTGTAAATCTCAAACTGCTCTAAAAAATAAAGCCTATTAATTTTTTTTTAAAAGAATCGGCAGTAATTTGCATTCATTATTCAATGAATAAAAATGCTAGGCAATGAAAAAAATATTGCATTGGATACTTTCAGTGTGTGGGGCCCTGTTCTGGGTGCCAGAGAATGTGTGAAAAGAGGAAGCAGTTGAGGGAGTGGTTGGCCTGCTAGAGTAGAAATGCTCTCCGGGCCCCACCCTTGTTTCCAGTACCTCACTTGTGGCCTCTGATTGTCACTTAATTCCGCTGTGTCTCAGCTTTCTCTTCTGAAAAATAAAGGAGCTGGTCGAGACTAACTGAGAATCTTTGTGACAAGTCTGCACTTCACCATTACAGTCTCTCAATGGTTGTTGAACAAGACAAGAGAATTCATTAAACAAACACAGGGCCTAACCGGATCTCTTTCAGAGTGTTTGCCTCTTGGCACACACATTCTAACTAGTACTTAGGAGATCAAAAATAAAACCCCGCATTTTTCGGTCTTCAAAGGAACTGCTGCCTTAGGGTTTTCTGGTAACTTTCAACTGGCCTGAAGCAGATAAAAAGATGAAACTTCAAGTGTAATGTCCTCAGTTAGTCTCTGAATGGCTCACCTGTCCCCAGCCCTTCCATGCCTGGAATGTCATCTCCAAACCTATGGAAAAAATAAAAATTAGCTGAGATCAGAACAAAAGGGTCCTGGAATGACTCATGTGGAAAGTTTCCTAACTCAAGGGGGGAAGAAGAGGCTTAAGCTTTTATATTTGAAAAACTTCTTATGTTTGCATTGAATTAAGGTAAAGAAAATAACACTCAGGCAGGTTTTAAACCGTGTGTCCCATGGAGAGATATTTTCCCCAGGGTAAAAAATTAACCTGAAACAATCAAGGGCCAGAAAGAATGATCAGTGGGGCAATTTTAGCCAAGCCTCACTTTTAAAAATAGAAATTGGAATGAAAAAAGCAATTTGAAAGGAATTAAACTGATTAATTTATTCATTTGTTTAGTTACCCAAACGTATCGTATTAGGCATCTTCTATGTGCCAGACACTGTGTTAGGCTCAGGGAGGAGAGAAAAAAATAAATAATTTTCTCTGAGTGAGCTCTGTCTCAAGAAACAAATGAAAACAAATAAACGTAATACAAAATAGTAAACATTATGATAGCTGAATGTACAAAAGGCAAACAAGGAATTAATGATAACATTTGTCTAAGAGAGTCAGTAACAGCTTCAAAAAGAAATTAACTTATGAGTGTGTGTTGAAAAATAAGACATTGCCAAGGAGAGAAAGAGAAAAACAAAGAAATTAAGACATAAGATTGAAGCCATAAAAATAAAGTGTGATTTCTGGAAATGGCCAGAGGTTCTGTAACCCTGATGAAAGCATGGGGTATATTGGTGAAAGGGAGTGGTCAAGAAGAAAAGCCAGGGAGGTCAAGTCAAAGGTCATTGTGAATGGTTCCATTTGCTGTGTTATATTTGGCCTTAGACCTGAGAGCTGAGAGACAATGTATTCCAGGGCTAAAAGCATGACTCACCAAAGATTGTGGCAGAGAGGAAAATAGAAGATGGGGCGGAAATTTTTGTAAGTTTGCTTAATATGGTGAGCATTAAATCTCAAAAGTAGATGTGGCACATATACACCATGGACTACTACTCAGCCATAAGAAAAGATGAGATCCTGCCATTTGAGACAACACAGATAGACCTTGAGGATATTATGCAAAGTGAAATAAGTTTGGAAGAAAAAGCTAAGAACCATATGATTTCACTCATAAAACTGAAAGTCGTGGACACAGACATCAGCATGGTGGTTGCCAAGGGAAGGGGTGGGAGGATGGGAGGAAAAGAGGGCCTAACATAGGGTGACGGGAGAAGATTTGACTTGGGTGGTGAGCACACAGTGCAATATACTTGAGACCTATATGATCCTGTTATCTAGTCAACCAAAAAATTTAATTTAAAAAAACAACAACAAAGCAGTCTTATGGGAGAAAAGAAACAATAGGAAGTCTTATTTTTCATCCTTGTCTTACCCTTTCACACCTTTCTTAGGAGGCTTGCTCTTGAATTGGCGAGTCTGCCTCTGCTTGAATTTTGGGGGCCCTTTGCGTGGGGTGGTGGGACCCTGGTTTGAAGCTGGAGGAACCAAAGTAGTATTGTCACTCATTCTTATGGTCCTTTGGTGGCCGATGTTTCTTCTTCAAGCCCCTTAAACTGTGAGAGAAGAAAAGACCCTTCAAGGTATGAGGACAGTTGCTTAGTAGACCTTTGCTGTAAACTGGGAAAGAAAAATCACTGTGATAAAGAAGCTTAAGTATTTTGTGTTGGCCCAATAGGGGAGAAGTTCTCATCTTTTAAAGATATTTTAAATAAATCACAGTATAAATTGATTGGAGACACTCAATATAGTGGAATACAAATTGACAACCAATAGATTTCAAGAATCTAGGTAGATATGTTATTCTAGTAAATCTGCCACTAGCTTTCCATGTGATTTATTAGAATGGCCTACTGCCCCTCTGTGATCACCAGTCTCATTATATGTAAAGGGAGGAGAATGGACTAAATGATATCTACAGTCTTTACAGCCCTCACATATTATCATATTATTTAAGCTTTACACATTTTTCCACCCAGCTGCAAAATAATCAGAATTTAAATGCTTGCTGACCCATTGTTATGGCCTTTGTTCTTTATAGTCTTTACTTTATTTAATCCTCACGTGATCTAGAGACTTCTCTCCTAGTTCAGAGCTGGTGGGGAAGGGGCAGTAATGGTGTGGAAATGTAATTGTCTGGACAGGTGTAGCTCTGAATCAGGGTTACCAACATCCATGAAAGTATGCAATACATCCCAACACACACACACACACACACACACACACACACACACACACACATGAAAATCGATACAGCGTGATTAAGTAGTAAGTTTGTGATTTAACTTCATATCCAGACATGAGGTTCTTCAGCTACATATTCTCAGAAATTTTTGACATTTTTTCCTATCCAAATCATGGGCTTATCTAATATGGTTTTCCCAGACTTTCATTTTAGCAGTAGAAATGTGCATTGTCACTCTTCAAGTACAAATCAAAGAACATGATTAACAACGGTATATTTAAAAAACAAATGTGCTAAGCTAAAGAATTTTTTTCTTTTCCATCAAAAAAGTTGATAATATTTACCTTAGGAAGGAAGATTCTGAAAAGCTCCGAAGAACTCCCAAATAGCCTTAATCCCTCACCTTGAGCCAACCCCTTTCATAATCCACTACCTGGAAGCTTTGTTTTCATTGAATTCTTTGTTTCACCCATTATAGATTTATGCTAATATCCTTTAGCTTCAATTCTCCTGGACAATCTTTGGCTTGTACTAGCCTTTTGTTTCTCTTTCTACCACACTGCACATCCCTCAAATATTATGTTGTATAACTTCATCAACTTCTTATTATTACTTTCAAAATCATTTTAAATCCTTACCACCAAGATATTTTTTCCTTATTTTTTTTTCCAATTTACTACTTTCATCCTGTCCTGCCAGTTTGCAAGTTGTTCAAAGAAACACATTGACTAGTTTGTAAGCTGGAACCAGAGATGGTGAACTTGGCCAGACCCCTGGATGACCTACTCATGCCAAGGGTTTTGTCTTAATCCCCCTCTGGAATATGGGCTGCTTTTCCAGCTTTTGTTGATTTCTGTGGTCCCAGAACCGACAACAGTACCTGGCCTTTACTACGTATGCCATGTATATTTGTCAAATAAGTAAATAAACAAATGAAGAAATTGGACTAAAACCCTGAATTGGACTAAAACTCTGCCCCCACAGAGTCTGACCCTGTGACCTTCTGCATCAAACCATAGAGAAGGCATCAGCGGATCTTCACTTTACAAAGCCCCCAGTGGCTTAGGAAGTGCCCTCCCAGCTCCTCTGCTCACTGAATCCAATTCTTGTGCTGTGGGCACTCTCCTGCCCCAGTAAACAGGCAATGTTGGTGCCTCTGAGAAGTGTGGTTCAGGCCATGGGAATCACCAGTGGCATCAGAGTGTGCCACCAGCAACTGGCACATCCCAGTTCTGCCAAAGCCATGGAGATAAACTAGAGAATTTCTCACAGACCAGGCTTTTATGACTTCCCAATTCTTTCACAATAGCCAGAAACCACACTTTCCTTTCTCTCATCTGGGGAACTTACTAAAATTAGGATTGTCGGGTTTAGCAAGTGAAAATATAGGGCATTCAGTTAAATTTAAATTTCAGATAAACAACAAATAATTTTGGGGTGTACCTATGTACCATTAAATATTTGGGATATGCTTATACTTAAAATGTTGTTGTTTATCTGAAATTTAAATTTAACTGGGAATCTTCTATTTCATCTGACAATGCTAACTAGGATCCTACTATGTTAGATCTAGAGAGCCTGTAATGTGAGGGCTAAGATAAACCAAATTAGTCAAATTAACCTTTGGGGGCAATATAGTGTAACCAGTAGGTGCTCTGGAATCAAATAAACATAGCTTCAAATTCCTGCTCTACAAAACTGGCAAAGTGATCTTGAGTAAGTTGCATAACTTCTCTGAGCTTTAGTCTATCTGTAAAATGAATTAAATAATACCTTCTTTTTTTGGTCATAGAGAAAATTAAATGAGATCATGTAAATGGAGTATTTGGTGAAAAGTACCCAAAAAAGAGTAACTAGATACTAGACCTTCTGAGAGTCCAGGAAGCCATGCAAACAAATCTACGGTTGCGACACAGGTTCAGCTTTTCTTGGGCCACAGGCTGAAGAGCCCTGGTCATGCACCCAAGAGGAGATTGTCATCTGCTCTTACTGAGCGATCCTCTGTGTCCCTCAAATGCCCCAACTATTAACTTATTCCTGGTTTCTGTCTTAGAAGAAATTCTGCCCTCCTTGGATACTTTTGAGCCCCCTAACGTTAATGCCAAAGAATTTTAAAATGGCACTTGACTTCTATTTCCCCCTGATTACACTTATTTTTTCTTCTAAGTTTCTTTTGCATGTTTATAATTTTGAAGTTGCAACTCTAAGCTTGGACAGAGTTCATGTCTAACTCAAAGTGTGATGCATTATATAAAAAACTAGAGGCTTGGAGTACAAATTCGGGCATGGGTGAGGTCCCTGGGCCTGGCCTGTGATCAGGGCCTATTAGGGCCCTCTTGCCCAGGCCCAACCAGGGCCGGGCCAATCGGGACAGGGCAGATTGGGACTTGCTGGCCAGTGGGGAGGAACAAGAGGAGGGATGGGGGGTGGGGGAATGTTGGCCAGCTGAGGGAGGTTGGCTGTGGGAGCACATTGACCAGCAGGAGGCAGCTCCGGCATTGAGCATCTGCCCCCTGGTGGTCAGTGAGCATCATAGCGACTGGTTGACCGATTATTCTGGCTTTTAGATATATATATATATTCTCACAAAAAGTTACATCACAGTTGCCTGGTTAATCCCTGGATCTTCATAGCCCTAAGGATTTGCACTATGAATCATAATTGTCATTGTGCTTATTGTGTGTGCCTCATGTACAATATTTCTTTTAAGTACCTAGGACAATCACAACCCCTAGAGTGTTTCTGCCGATATCTGCCCTCCAGCTCTCCCTGTAGAACCTTTGGGAGAGACAGAACAAATATGACCATTTCCTATATGGGAAGTCACTCCTGCCTGTCACAGGTATCACGGAAGGCAAAACTTATCCCGACCATGCTTTGCTATGAATTCCAAGGGCATCCCTGGAGCTAAATGATCCTGAATTTAGTATCAGACTTGATTTTGACAATAAGAGGACATTTCACATTTTTACCTTTAAAAGTATCAAACTATCCATTCCTTCGTGAAGCAGAATATGTTCCTGTTTTTTAAGCAATGTTAGCCCTCCCACATTTGAAGCTTAAAAACTACTCTTCTGCAGAAATAAGTGAATGCAGTGATGTAATATTTCAAGGCAAAATTTTGTAGGGAAGCAGCTGGGATTAGACCAAGGCAGCAGGAAGCTGCAGGAACCTACAGAGGATGGTCCTCCATAAATTCCAGCTAAAGAAAAACAGTTCCAGAAGCTTCTAGGGTCGACCTTTCTGATGCTGCTATTATCAACCCAGACTCCCAGTTTCCTCAGCAAAGGTATGGGCAGATAGGCAATTTCATTGTTGATGGAGTAAGAGATAGGGGGGAAGCAGTAGGTACAGGAGTACTGTTTCCTCCAGGGAAGTTGGGCCCATAAATGTCACCCAGGGTCCCGCCGAAGCAGAGAGAATAAAATAATTTGAGAAACAAGAAAACCCAACCAAAACCATGAAAAAACAAAAACAAAAATCCATCAAGTACCTTGCTTCACATTGGAACACACAAACACTTTGACCTCAGAGGGAGCAGGGTAAGCCACCCACACTGCACTGCAGTCAGTCATTCCCATGATGGCTCTGGCTCCTTCTCTCCAGCCTCTGGGTGCCTGAGCCAAGTTTTCAAGCACATCCTGGGAGTCAAGACCTGTTTGCTCTGTGGTCATTTAGTGCTCAGATCACTCCTTTCCCAGAAAACTGTTTTCTATGGAGCCACACACACACACAGAAAAGGGGGTGGGGGTTTCTTCTAAATAAATTTTGTAATCAAGGTTTGCAGGGACCTTGCAATGCTCAAGTTTCTTTTATTAGCTTATCACATGGCATTATGAGGAAGTTTGGGTGCATTTCCGTAATGTTTTCTTCCGTTTTCATTCCCAGGGCCAATCCAGGCCCAGGGGTTCAGGTTGTTCTCTTCGTCCATTCTCTGTTTTAGAGCCCTCTCCACCCCCACCCCACTCCCAAGCCCTTCGATTGTACACCATGCTTACACTTACCAGAAGCTGAGCTGGATGTTGCTCCGAGAAGCCGTCCAGTTGCCTTCTCCACAGTAGATGAACAAAGGATCTTTGCATCCTGATTTACTCCCGGTAACACCCTCAGGCCATCTAATCCCACCTTCATCAGATTAGAGCCCCAGCCCAGATGCAAAGAAATGGGGTGAGAGGGGAGAGGCTTAGGTGTTCTCTGGTCATTGGGTACTCTTACAAAACTAACTTGGGCTCTCTCTCTCCTCAATAAATAGGTATCAAGTTCACAAACACGCACAGTGTTATATCCAAGAGTGGATTTGCAATTTATGCTTCAATATCTTTTGCCTTCTCCAGTCCCACCTTTAGTCCTTGCTCCTCTCCACGCCTTCCC